TTTCTGGGTGGGCCCAATGTAATCAGAAGAGTCCTTGAAAGTAGAAAAGGGAGGCAGGAGGTATGATTATGAAAGGAAGATACAAAGATTCAACACTGCTGACTTTGAAGATGGAGAAACAGAGCCATGAGCCAAGGAATGCTAGGTAGCCACCGAAAGCAGGAAAGGGCAAGGAGACATATTCTACACTGGAATCTCCAGAAAGGAACATAGTCCTGCTGACACCTTGATGTTAGCCCAGCGAGACCCATGGTGGCCTTTGATCCTGAAGAATTGTAAGACAATTAATTTATGCTGTCTAAGTCACTAAGCTTATGGTAATTTGTGAGAAGCAGCAACAGAAAGCTAATGTACTTCCTAAGATGGGGAACAGGGCAAGGATGTCCTTCCTCTCTTACCACTCTTAATTAAATTTCCTCTCGGAAGTTCTAAAGTCTGCAATAAGGCAAGAAAAAGAAAAGGCACATGAATTAGAAAGGAAGAAATAAAACCGTCCATATTTGCAGACCACATAATTATGTAGAAAATCCCAAAGAACCTACAACAAAGCTCCTAAAACTAATTGAGTAAATTTAGAATAGTTACATGATAAAAGATTAATACAAAAGTCAATTTTATTTCTATATACCAACAATGAACAAATGAATATTTAAATTTAAAAAGCATATACCATTTAAAACAGTTCCCTATCCCCTAAGAAAACCCAAACCAAAACCCTGTATTTAGGTATAAATCTAACAAATAAGGCAGGATCTGTGTGCTGAAAAATGGAGAGTATATTGTGTTCACAGAATGCAAGAATCAGTATTATGTCATTCTCAATTTGAACTATAAAGTCAATACAATCCTAATCAAAATCTCAGCAAACTTTCTCATGGACATCAACAAAATGATTCTAAAATTTTTATGAAAATGCAAAGGAACCAGACAATAGCTAAATTCTGTAAAAGAACAAAGTTGTAGGACTCGCATTATCAAATTCAAAACTTACTAACAGTAATCAAGACAGCATGGTATTGGCAAAAGGACAGACACACAGACCAATGAAACAAGCTAGACAGTCCAGAAACAAAACACACAAATATGGTCAATTTTTGACAAAAGCGCAACAGAGAAAGGATAGTCTTTTTAATAAATGGTATTGGGTATATGGATGTCCATATACAAAACAAAAAAACCTTGACACATCTCATACTTTATACAAAAACTAAAAGGGATCATAGACCTAAATATAAAACAATTTGATACAGAGCAACTAGAACTCTCATACACTGCTGATGGGAATGCAAAAATGGTACAGCCACTTTGAAAAGAGTTTGGCAGTTTCTTATAAAGTTAAATATACACTTACTATTCCACCCAGCCAGACTGCTTGCTCCTAGATATTTACTTAAGTGAACTGAAAGTTCATATAAAAACCTATATGTAAGTGTTTATAGCAACTTTATAATGCTCCAAAACTGGAAACAACTAAGATCAAATTTAAGGTGACTGGATAAACAAACCACAGTACATCCATACAATGAAATACCAGTGATAAAGCCAACTATTGATTCATGCAACACTATCAATGAATCTCACATACATTTCACTAAGTGAAAGAAGCCAGATCCAAAAGGCTACAAACTACATGATTCCATTTATACAAGATTCTGGAAACGGCAAAAATATAAGGATGGAAAATAGTTTAGTGGCTTCCAGGGGCTATGGGAGAGGGCAGAGGCTAACTACCAAGAGGTATTACCAGGGATTCTTTTTAGGGGGATGTAACTCTTCTCTATGGCACTGTGATGGTAGATACATGACATCATACATCAAAGAGTAAAGTTAATTTATATGCAATCCCAGAATTGAATGAAGTTGGCGACAAATCTAACTATACTGCAAATGTATGATATAACCTCACTGAAAGGGTGAAGAAAGAAGGAGCAACCTAGGGAACTTTGAAAACTGCTTTCACTGGTACTTTAAAAACAAAATGAACTGTACAGAAATATTGGTAAATGTTTCTCACAGGGTCAAGTTAGCAATTCTGAAACTATTTTATATGTATACTAGAGTTAAACAAATAGGTAAACAAATTGTACTTAATGCTGAAGCCAAGTTTCTGTCAGAGAAAGATGCTACAAATAAGCAAAGAGGGGAAGACTAAAATGAACCCTGGTTACAGATGAGTCAGAGATGTTAGTATGAATCCATTTATTTTGGTAATATGCAGATACAAAAATACAGATGTACATATATGTGCTAGTATACATATGTATTTCCTCGCTCTGTCCTAGAAGTGTGAAACCCCAGTAGCAAAGCACACATCTAGTGCCCAGTTTTTCATTTCTGAATATCATTTTCCAATAAAAGGAACTAGACTCAGCTCTACCAATTTCTTAAAAGGTGTGACCTTCTACAAGATAGTTAATTTCTCTCTGAACCGTATCTCCTCTGTAAAGTGGAGATAAGCTTCTCTGTTATTGCAGGTAGAACAAACACTGGGCCCTTAAATAGTATCTCAGGGGAAAGGTCAGATTATATGGAATTAGGAGGTATGAGCATATAAGTGATGCCTGAAATACATGGGGGCATGGATGAAAGTTCCATAAGAAAATTTGAAAAGTGGGCAGAAAACCAGGTGAGTAAGCCAAAGAAGAGTTTAGGGGAATGAGCAGTCAAAAGTGTCAAATACTTCATAAGGTAAAGTAAAGAGAGCACTAGATTTGCCAGGTGGAAGGGAATCTGTACCTTTTCATAGACATAAGAGTGGTATGGTGGTCACAGAAGTCAGATTCTAGTGCATGGAAGTTGAAAAAGTAGAAGCAGCAATCTGGGAATAAAGTGGAAAGGGAACTATAGCAAAGTTTATAGTGAAACTAAATTCAAACAAAAGTATTTTGTTAAAGAGTAGTTAGATTGCTTCTCTGAAGATTTCAGACAGTCAAAGATTGTTAGAAACTGTAGCTATGTGTGCCCTGGCCCTAACTTGGTGTGTATGTATATGTGTGTTTATGTGCGGGGAGAGGGAGAAGGAGGTCATAAATGAATACAGAACAAAGAAAATTTGGTCTGCCAGTTAAAATAATGAGTTTTTATAAATGGGCAGCTCTCTAGGCTTTTATACGACAGAGCAGACAAGAAGCTTATAAGTGCTGCTTTCTCACTCATAATTACACCTTCTCTTAGTCTTTTCTGTATAAGGAGAAACGTTTCTGTTCCACAAAACCAAACTACAGAGACATAACCTGAAGTCCTTCTGTTTTTTTATAATCAAGAGGATTTCTCTTCTGACTGTTCTGCTGTGTCTCCTTAGAACTGATTTCTATAGTAAGTGCTGTTGTCTTAAATTTTACCACCTAGACTTGAGACTTCTTAATCAGATTTGCTTCTGATTTTTAAAAAAGGGTTAAACATTTCCTTACAAACATTTTAAAACGGAAAAGATTTAAATGTAGAGTTCAATATATATTTTAAAATACATTTAAATATGAATGCAGCCTCTATGCTTATTTATTATTATAATTTAAGTATAGATTAATCATAGATTGATGGAGCACAAATAAAATACGTCACTCGGCTTGTTTCCAACTCTTTTAGTTTTTTTTAAAGGCGAGACAACCCTTGTTTGACCTCACAGATTGTGAGGACCTTGTCATCTTATAATCCCTTTTTTAAAATTTTTTACGCCTACCGCATCTGGCCTTCTTAGGTGGTCTCACATCCAAATACTAACCAGGCCCGACCCTGCTTAGCTTCCGAAATCAGGCGAGAGTGGGCTTGTTCAAGGTGGCATGGCCGTAGACCCAACTCTTTTTCTAACATCCCAGAAAAAGCTCTGCCATTTCTCATAGCTTTGATGTAATTTACTATTACTCTATAATAGCTAAGAATATTTTAGGAATGAAAGAGGCTGGTAGAACTGGAATATGAAATTGCATATAAACAAATATTTCAACAGAGCACTACAATAACAAAGTGCTCTCCCAGGAATTATCTTATTTGACCCCAAAAGCAACCCCCTGAATGGTTGTGGGATCCCATTTTACACATTAGAAAACTGAAGTTTAAAAGGTTAATGTGTTCTTCCAAAGTCACAGCAAAAGGAGTACATCCAGGACTTGAGTCCAGATCTTCTAAGTTCAATCTCTGTGTTTCTTTCACATTATTCATAGTGTTTGAAGAATCTTGGGGTGAATAGCAGAGGAGTATTTTTTACCAATTTAAAACTTTTTATATCTTTATATACCTTATTTTCATTTTCTTCACTTTGCCTTAAGTCATTTCTCTATTAAAAATCCTAAACAAAATATTTAAATCATAACTAAATAAAAATACTAAGATAAGTTAATACAAATATTTTATTCTGTTTCTTGATGACAAGATCATTTATAGCTGTAAATTTACTTTATGATAATTACTTTAGCCCACATTTCATAGATTTTTGTGTGCAGCATTTTTATTGAAGACTAACTCTATTTTAAGATTTTGTTAATAACGAGGTATTCTTAGAATTAATCTATTTTCAAAGGATCTTTATTTAGATGTTAAACTTATTATTTTGAGTAAAGGTAATATTCATTAAGACATGTACTGGCCATCATATATTTACTATATTACAAATAAATTTAACTTAACATTTAATTTTAATATACATACATGAAATTCTTGATCTTCTTGAAATATACTACTCATGAAAAGAAATAATTTTTAAATAACCTAGCTAGCCGGTTAGAGCCTAGTGAAAATATAGCAAATTGTGCATTAAAACTCCCATGGGGAAACTGCATGAAAGAAAACTACTCTATAATCGAAGATTAATCCATAATCCCATTAGCCATCTTATAAGTGCAGCTAATTAAATAAAGATGTTTTAGCAAGATCAATCAATTCTACCAGAAAAAAACTCAACACCAAAATCCTATTGTCAGCAGATATAAAAGATACACATATGGCACAACCTGAAGGCATATTTGACTTACAATAATTTAAGTAAATGCAATATATGTACCTACCTGTTCTTCATTAGGCGAACCTCTCTCTTTCGGGCTGCTTCTTCAGCAGGCTGTGTAGGAAGTGCTGGGGAGGATGCCATAACAACTCCAGGGGCAATGGTGCTAGTGGGTGCTGTGCGGATCTGGTATGTTTGTACATCTCCAGAGGCAGCTTAAAGAAAAAAGATGAGTATGATATAAGACACTGAAGCACTGTGACTTGGTAAAACTACATGTGTCAATCATATACACTTTGGATTAAAAGGGGAAAACAATGGAACAGATGATTCTGACTAAAATACTGAAGGAACCAGCACTCTCTGAGTCATTATTGAGAAATAATTCCCAATGTAATGTATTTATTAGTATAGAAACTTGGGTGAAAGAAGTCTTAACCTACGTCTGCTAGAATGCAGTTCTATTCTGTTAACATGCTTACCAACCTTAAGTCTAAAAGGTAAGTAGGGCACAGCTTGGATCATCTTCCTAGATAGAGTATAGTCCTCAATGTCTTCCTTTGATATTGGTAAATTCATATTAAAAAATTTCAAGTAGACTCTTGCCACGACATAAAAACGACCATGATTTTTCATAAAATAGCAAAATGGAAGAGAAAATAAAGCATTATGGTCAACTATTATAAATTTTTAATTGAAACAAAACTCTAAGTATGAAAAAGTGTACCACGTGATGCCAATTATATTATTTGTAAACACTGTTTTAATGTAAATGATAATGACTAAAGTTTTATTCTTCTAACTAAATGATCCATTACTTGTGAAAAGAAATATAATCACTACTTGTCAGACTGCTTCTAAAAACAGCTTAATAATATGCCCTTCTAAGAATAAGGAATCTAACATTATTTGAAAGAATTTGAAGGACTTTATAAAATTATCCTTATTTGTTAAATATCAATTAAAATGTGTAGTTTGAGTGGAAAAGATTTATATACTAAACATGTTACCATCTTCAAACTGACGTTCAGAATTCAAATTCACTGACATCCTGCTTTACAATTTTTGAGTACCTGCATGTAAAGTGAAAAGGTGTTTTACTCCCATTAATAAGCAAAATATATTATCTTCTTCAAATATTATTTGTTTAGTAACAGAATATATTCTGTAAATACATTAGGGCCCTTTAAATAAATTATGACTCTCTCTAGTTGATGTTTTAGGATTATTTAAAAATTATCGACAGCGAAGGGGCACAACTGTCATTACCTAACAGAAGCAAAACATATTATTAATGAAAATATTTTTAGAAACATTTATTATTTCCTTAATATGCAAATTTTCAAGCTGGCATACATCATATTCTTGAAATATTCAAATGTGTTAAAAGAAAAATAGTTAACTCCTATCTATAAATATTCCTGAAATAAATAGGAAAAAAACAAAAAGCATTAAATTAAAAAATAAAAGAAAAAAATTCCATTTTCATAATTCATCAAGGATTTAACTACTACTTCTCTCCAAAGACCAGCAGAGCTGCACACTGGTATAAGATTTTTCAGAATATAATGCTTTCATTTAAAATAAAAAATGATGATCTTAGAAATGAGGATGTAAATTTATTTTGAATAAAAAGCAGAGAAACAGAATTTTGAACCTCCAAAGATTATTAATGACTTAGTACAACTCTCATTTGACACATGAAAAAAAATGAGGCCCAGAGAGAGGATGAGTCTTACACAAGGCCACATAGCGAATCTATAGTTAGAGCTAGAATCTAGCTTTCCTAACTCCTGATTTCATTGTCTTTCCTCTATCCTACTCTGTTTCTCCTACCCCCAAATGCTAGAGGTGTTAAAGATAGACATTATATTTTTAAAACTGAAAATAGTTGTTTTTATGCCATGACATTTTGGTCCAATTAGAATAATGGAAGAGTTCATGGAAAATATTATCTATCATAAAGAAAAATTAACTACATTTTAACAGTACTCTGCAGTATCATACTTACTTTTTCTGAGTTTATAACATTTTAACCTTTCAAAGAATTTACCACATGTATGAATTCTGAATTCTCTTACCTTGAACAACAACTTGGTTGCTGGGCACTAAGATCTGCTGTCCATCAGTGGTCTGTGCATACTGTAGAATGGTAGTACCCGGCTGAGTGGCGGCTGCATTGGTCATGGTTAATGTTTGCAGGCCCTGTACCCCATCGGTACCATTGTTAGCCAGCTGTATTGCTCCTCCCTGGGTAATGGCAACTAAAACCCAATGGATTTTTTGTTACAAGTTTAATTAATACCATATAAGACTTTTACAACACACTAAATTCAAAGTAGAATAATTTGCAAGACATAAGCTAGGAGAAATTATTACAGTAAATAACACCATCAAGAAGGATTTGGTATTCTCAAGTACTTTCTGCTCAGGAAGCCCACATCCAACTTCTATAATACAAATGCACTCTATGAACCACATTACAATTTATAATAATGTCTGTTAACAATTTTTTTAAAAAATAGATAAGTGAGAAAATATTAGATTCCTTTTGAAGTTATTTGGTTCAGAGGAGGTACCAACTTTGTGATCCATACTTCCTTTAATCTAGCATTAACTACCTAATATTTTAATTGTTTAATATTTGTTGTCCCACTAGGAAATAAATTTATTTAGAGTAGAAAATGATGGTTTTTCTTATCTATTTTCATGTACTTAATTAGCACAGAAATAGGCATGTAATAGGCACCCCATAAAATGTTGTTTTAATACATAATAAAGCAGTTGAATAATGCATCTTTTTCTCTACCTTGCTAGCAATGCATAAACTATAACAAAAGTCCATTCAATGAAACAACCGAGATATCCTATGGAACTTAATTATCAGTCTCTCACAGAGTTTAAAATTGGAGTTCAAGATCATCGTTTAGAGAAAAATGCCTTATTGCTATCTCTAAGTTACATATCTAAGCATCCTCATATAGGATCTTTTGTTGATTATTCATTAATTAACCATACTTGTCATTCATCTGTTACAAAGTAATCAAGTTTGGCCCATACTAATAACATGGAAAAAGTTTTTTAAAAAAAGAAATAGATCATTATTTTATTTGGACGAAGCAATCTTTTGGATACCAGCATTGAGATAAGTAGTTGGATCCTTCTCTAGATACAATCCCTGTTAAGAGTTCAAGTTTTCCAGAAAGAGGACTAAAAATTACAATATTACATATAAAATTGCATTAATGGATTTTTCAGTGAATATATCAACATGTCTGACACTTAAGCATGTTACTTTTTGTCTGTTAGAAAGGAATTAACTTGGGATCAATTGTTAGCCAGCTTTAATAACTAATATCCCGAGTCACACATCTATGGAAATTTGATTATCTACTGTTCAGTCAAGAAATAATAACAGTTAATGGCTATCATTTGGTTTAGCAAATGATACCTGTGGAAACTAAGATGCTGGCATATACAATCCATGCACTTTAGCTAATCCCATATGTTTTACTTATCTTAGACAAAGATAACACAAGGGATATGTAAGAACTATTCTGAGATTAATATTGCTGGATAACTTGAAAGAATCAGAAGGTTAATAGACTCAAACCACAATTTCTCATATAGAGTTAATAAGCAAATTCCACTGTATTTAATACACGCAGCTTTCTTCTTGGCTACATACAATGAACTCAAGGTGGGAAGAAAGAAGTAGAAAACTAGATAGCAAGAGATCTGGGTTCTAGTGCAAGTTCCATCACTAAACTGTTTTTTGAATCTGTTATCTCTTCTGTAAAAATAAAAATATCTGGTTCTAGCCACTAAGGACAATTGTTGTAAAAACCAAATGAGATCATGTATATATGAAAGCAGCCTATCAAACATGGTTTTTCTCAATACTTGTTTATATACTTGCCTATTCCAAAAGAATTTGAAATAGCTTTCATGAAATTAAATTCATTAAAGAAGAAAAAGAAGTCAAATGACTGATGTGTCTATACGTGTATATATAATAATTCTACTAGAAAATCTAGAAAGAAAAATACAATTAAACATAAAAGTAGCTGAGATTCTGAGTAGCCAAAATAAAGAGTTCTGAAAACATCATGGGTTACAGTTTTATTTAGTGAAACAAAAAATTCAAGTTCAAAATGACAGACACATATTTTTCTACCTAAAAATCTCTCAAGACTTTATCATCTGAGACAGTGAACCTAGCATGGATAAAACTAGTAACAGTATTAATAAAAAAAAAAATAACCAATTTATGAAGGAACAGAAATTGGTACAGCCAACTGGAAAGGGCAATTGGGCAGGACGTGCTGTGATTCAATAATTCTATTCTTTGGATGCTACCCCACTGAGACTTTAATACATATATAAGAATGTTCATGTAGCATTGTCTGGAAGAGTAGAAATGTCTTAAAGGTTCATCAGTATGTGTGTGGGGGGAATGTTTAAATAAATGTTATATTTATTTACACAGTAAAACAAAATGTAGCTGTTAAAGACACAACTATATGTGTATATATCTATATATGGTATAAAAGAGATTTTCACTTTTTATTAATACTATGAATCTCTACTATTTCAATTTTCACAACCATATATTTATTTTATAAGTTAAGAAATATATAAATGTTGTATACATAAGTAGTTATTGTATTGGCTCTTAATGACAAACAAGAACATAATGTTAAATCAGTCCCATCAAGGCCATATTGGTATATATAGAGAGCATAAAGGATAAAGATAATGAATAAAGTTTAAAATCTCAAAGTATTAACCTTTTAAAACTAGCAATTTTCAGTTGCTGGAGGAGAGTAGTGTGCCAAATTAAATATCTACTTTTCTGAATTTCACTTTCCTATTTGAGATTCTGATACACCTCTTTCTTAAGAGCATGCTTTCTAGTTCAAGTAAGAGTCACTGCTAAGTGAATCACTGTCACTAACAGGAGTATGCTGTATCTCTTGGGCATGCTGAAGTAGGGGAAAAATAAAGGTCATGTATCAATGTCTTGGAACACACATCTTGAATAACTGAAACAGTATGAATATAAGGGTAAAAAATACACATGTACATGTATACAGTAGTACCTGTTTACCTCTGTCAATAAGAACTTAAGAAAGAAAAAGGTGACTAAAAGAGTGAACAAGACGCTTATTCAAAAATACCTTCCTTTTACTTATTATCAAGAGTTTCAGCTTTGAGAAAGCTAAAAATAAAAAGTCTGCTACTTGGGAATTTGTTTTTAATACAGCTGGAATGCAAATTAGTTATGCAGACCAAGGCTGAGTTGTGATTGGAAAACTATTAACTTGGGAGTCAAACTTTTATATGTATTTCTGACGCAGGCTACCATAGAGCATTAGAAAACTAATGCAGCAAAGAAGTTTCAATGTGTACATTTAATTTGTAATTAACGAAGGGAGGGAGAAAACATATAATGGGCAGTCCTGGATTTAAGGAACAAATCAAAATGAAGAAATCAATAAGTGAGGCACTCTGGGAGGCAAAAAGGTATTGGAAACAAAGAACAAAAAGAACCATTCACACAAATGCCTTTGATCAAACAATAGCAGAACTCAAAGTATTTTATAAAACAGATTTAGGTGAAAGATAAGAGATACCTAAGTGTCAGATACCACAGAAATGGCAATTGATAATTTTGCAAAAGAAATCTTTGCTTTCTGTGAGTCAAAAAGGACTTAATTTCAGTAATCCCTAGGTTTTCATTATCATAATTCACTACCTTTTATATTAAAAGAAATAATAATTGAATGTGCTAGTAGACTGCAACCAAGCCTCTCCACCCCAACCACAAAACATTAAATACTATTTTAAAATACTAGAAGGGAAGACTAAGTATTAAAACAGATGAATAATGAGACCATTTTGTCCTTAAACATAATCAAAGAATGATTAATTTCTTTATCTGAAAAAACTCATGTTCTCTATTAGCATTATATGTTATAGGAGGACTAAAATCTTCAAGTAGTGGTTTGAGAAACTTATAAGACTCTTCATGCATCTGCATAAAGCAATGGGCTATCTAAAGCAGCAGTCCCCAATCTTTTTGGAACCAGGGACTTGTGCTCCTATGAGAATCTAATGCCTAATGATCTGAGGTGCAGCTGAGGTGGTGATGCCAGTGCTGGGGAGTGGCTGCAAAGACAAAAGACAGATGAAGCTTCACTTGCTCGCAGCTCACCTCCTGTGGTGTGGCCGGGTTCCTAACAGGCCATGGACTGGTATTCGTCTGTGGCCCAGGTTTGGGGGACCCCTGATCTAAAGGCTTACATTCTTGAATAATCTTAACTAAAACCCTGAAAAAATAAAATACTTCTGTTACAGAACTTGCATACTGAACAGTAAAGGAAATATAACAATGACAGCCGAGACTGAGAAGAGTTGGCACTTATTTGATTTCCTTAAGGTGATTATACAGACATTAGTTTTTCATATCACTTTCCAAAACAGAAATATCTATTACTCACTATACTGTCCACTGCTAGTTTGGTAAATCGGAGTTGGCACCGTTACAGTGGTGATGGCAGGGGCTGAAGTCTCTTCTTCAGACTTCTCTTCTTCAATCCTTGGTACTCCTGGTGCATCAGAAGATAAGTCATTCAAAATTTTCCTAGAAAAAGAGAGAATTATAATAATTACAATAAAAATAACATTTATTTGCTAAATAAATAAAAAAATATCAGAAAACTAGTAGAAAGCTGCTAGTGCTTAGGATAGAAGTTTAAAATATAGTAATTTACAGGAGTAAACTAAAAAAGGACCAGGGATCTGTGTCAAAATGAAATCACAGAAGGACTAGAATAAACACAGTTGAATTTTTCCTTAACCTAAATGTAAAGAAAGACTGTGATTCAAATCCAGGTGCAAGTAGAGATTAATAAAATTGACTACAGAAAAACAAGATTCTTTTGCAGGGCAAAGAATACCAGAAATTAAGTCAAAAGATGATGAATAATAATAGAAAAAATATTCACATGTATTACATATAAAGGGCCAATATCCCTGATATATAAAGAACTCTTAAAAATTGATGGGAAAAAAGATGAAAAACATGAAGTTTAACTTTCCAATTCTCAGATTGGTGAAAATAAAAAAAGTATAATATATTCTGTTAGCAAAGCTGTGAGAAAACACTCTCATACACTGATGTTGGGAGTATAAAACTGGCATAACCCTTACAGAAGGAATTTGGTAACATCAACCAAAACTAATTGTATTTACACAGCAGTCTTCTAAGAATTTACCCTTAAGATATACTTCCAACAGTACAAAAATACATATGTATAAGGTTATTCATGGTAGTGTTGTTTATAACAGCAAAATACTGGAAACAACCTATGTGCCCACATATAGGAGAATGGTTGAATAAACTATGGTTCATCCAGATAATGGATACAGCATGGTATCTTTTGTATAAGAAAGTGAAGTAAGAAAATAGACATGTATCTGCTCATCTCTTCAAGAAAAAACCAGAGAGGATAAATGAGACAGTTTAATGAGATTCGTTTTCTACTAGGAGTGGGTGGGAAAGAAGTAAAAAAGATAGAATGGGGGGGTACTTCTGAGTGTATGTGTATATATATTTTTTGTACAATTCTGACTTTTAGAAACATGTTAATGTTTCACATATTCAACACAAAAGAAAATATCAACGAAGATGGGGAAAATTCTAAAAATAGAATACAAAAACAAATGAACCTTACCATATTTTCAAACGAATAACGTAATCACAGAGGAGGAGAAAAAAACCCTAACTTTACTATTATCTCTTTAAGTATTTCCTTTCTCTCAATTTCTTCTCTGGAAATTGTAAAAATGTTTCTACTGAAGCACCTCACTCTATTCTCCATGACTTTTCACATGTCTTTCATATTTTCTACCTATTTCTGTTCACCATTCTGAGTTACAGTCTCAGTTCTCTTCCAGTTTACCAGTTATCTTATTAGTTACTTGTATCTAGTTTATCGCGTTTATTGGTTTGTCATCATTGTTTTTTAATTCCCTGGTTTCTACTTCTCATTTCCAAGATTTCTTACTTATTCTTTTCCATATTTCTTACTTATTCTTTTCCATATTTCTTACTTATTCTTTTCCATTTAGTAACTCTTATTCTTCTTGTAAGGATGATTTTCTCTCCTTTATCTCTTTGCAAATGAGAAACATAACTATTTTAAACAGCTTGTGGACAGATCACACTTTTGGATATCACTGCTCTAGAGCACTGTTTCTCAAACTTCAGCATACAAAGAAGCACTTAAAGAGCATGTTATACACAGACTACTGCGTGTCCTTCCCAGAGATTCTCTAATTCATTAAGTATGGGGAAGGGGCCCAAGAATTTGTACTAAGCAGATGCTAACTTATCAGTTTGCTCTTTGGACCATAGTTTGAGTAATATTGGTTTTTAGAGCAATGTTTTCCAAACTGAGATCACAACCCATATGTAAGCCTGAAAACAATAAAGTAGGTTACAGCCAACATAAAACAATAAACAAAAAAAACAGCTGAACATCACACATAATGGTGAGTGCTGCTTTGTGGAACTTTTGCTTCAGATGCCTACATATAGGTATATGTATGTGTATATCTGTATATGCACACACACACATATACCCATATATATTTATATGTGAATGTGTAATTGTATAAATATATGAATATGTATAATTGTGTGTATGTATATGGAGAACTATAAAAATGTACTTCTTGTGGATTGTCGTGTAAAAAAAAAAAAAAGTTTAAAGGCTTCTACTCTAGACCAGCAAAAAAATCTCTTTTGCATAATGCCAGTGATCATTCTTAGCCTTTTCTTTCCAGTTTCTCAAATTGTTGCTCCAGACCATCCTGGTCATTCTCCCCCTGGAGGTATAGTTCACTTTCTCTTAAAGTACATTCCAGATGTGGTCTGAGCAGCAAGATTACTAAATTTGTCCCTTGAACAAGAAAGAGGAGGTTAAAGGCTCTGACTGCCCGAGCAGTTGAAAATCCTCTGTAACTTAAGTCGACCCTTGAACAACGTGGGTTTGAACTGCACAGGTCCACTGGAAAAATCCACCTCTAGGTGGACCTGTCAAGTTCAAATCTGCATTTTAGTTCAGGGTCAACTGTAATTCCTTTACTTAATTTAGACTCTATGTTTTTATCACCAGCATTTCATCCTATTTGTTTCAGTCTTTCCCCATTGGCTATTAAGATCTTTCAAAGTACTTATTTCCCCATCCATTGGGATACTTATCCCTTAAGGCTCTGTCATCTGTAAACTTTATAAGCATGGCTTCTACGTTTTTCAGCTAACTGCTAGTAAAAATACCAAGCCAGATGAGACTAAGTGAGAGCTCTTCAATGACTTCCTCTGGGTATAATAAATTAATCACTATAAAGCTGGGTTGTTCAAATAAAAAAAACCCATCTTATATTATCAATTGATCCCCATTTCTCCAACCTTACAAGCATATCATAAATACTTTGTTAGAGATATTGTTATAATAATCAAGACATAGATAAAGGCTAGGTTTCAAGAATTCATAAACTTAAAAAAAAAATAATGGTACCCCCACCCCCCATGGAGGTTTGGCTGTAAGGAAGGATACCTTAAAGTAGCTCCTTTTCTACATATGTGTGGTCTCAGGCATCTTCTATTTCATTATTAATAAAGGTGTTATTATTTAAATCATATTTGCTGGGATATAGGCTACCAGACAATTTAGGCAAATAAGAAAGATACTTTTCTATATGTTGCTTATATTTTATAAGGTGTATAGCTAAGATTTGCCTAGAATTTATACACAGACAAGTCCATGTGGCTTGTTTTATTAAATACCAGGTTGGATCTACTTCAAGACCAAATATGTCATATACTAACATGAGATATACTTCAAAGATAAAATCTTAAAACTAGCTATATTAAAAAAATTATGAGTATAAATGCATACAACACATACTTGGTAACATAAAATTTCTTAAAATTTCAAAATCAACTTACTGATATTCATTAGGATTCTTAATTAAATTGTGAGGATAGAAAAAAGGACTGGCTTAGGAGATGAGTGGGGAAAAAAATTAACTATTCCTTTGTAAAAGAGAAATATACATAAAATAATTCAGACTAATAACAAAGAAGAATGTTATACGTTTGAAGTTTATTAAACTCTGAAGCAAGCTTATGAAGCTTTGTAGAATTGTTCTTCCTGGAGGTTTTGAATATGGAGCCAATTTATATATATATAAAAAATGGTTCTGGTCCATCTTGGAGGCAAGGCATGGACCAGGCAACTTCTATAGCCAAATACAAAAACTACAGTAAGATGCCCCTAAAATTAGTGGATATCAGCAAAGCATCATCCAACTATAAATTAACAGTTATCTGCTAAATACTATGGCACAAGAAATGGTTTGCAAATGTGCTGCTAAGTAGATGAATAGTACAGTCTAAGAACTGACATGTAACTAGAAAATGCTATAACCTTATCAAATGTATTCCAAACTTTTTAATAGAAAAGAAGCAGCCAGTATAACCTATAGAAACAGAAGTAGAAAAAAATATCAGTGTTTATCCAGGACTGTTCAGAGTAAGAAGTACTCTTATTCTGTATGATAAGCTTCAACTTATTCTGAGAGAAGTAACTCAAAATGAAGATAAATAAGCTATAGGGTCTTGAACTAAGCAGATAATTGGTCTTCCAACATCTGATTCTAACATCTTTTAATTCTTAAATTCCTTACCTGTAGGAAGGCCTCCTCGAAAGAATTTCTCTTCGTTTTTGAGAATCAGTTACACTATCCACTGACTCCTGTGAATCTTCACTTTCTGCAATAGTTGAAATCTAAAAAAAGAAAAACTTTATCTTGATAATCAAATTTAGTTCCCATAAAATTTTTTTATGAATTTTAGAAGTCAAATAAAAAAGGACATATATAAAACCTTATAAATGCTTCAGTAGATAAAAAGTCAGTTTTTATGGGAGATAACTATACTAATCACTCTCTTCTCCTCTTTACTTATTCTATAGAAGTCAGAGTACCTAAAAGTTTTGTTAAAACAAAACTTCTGTGACACCCAAATTTTGCTTAATCTCTTTCAGGACTTCATGTAATCAATCCTGAATGCGTCAATATTACCTGTAAGTTGTTTTCTTACAGTTAAAACAAAACTACCAAGTAAAATAAGGTTTCTGACATAACAGAAAGAATAAATGAATAAATATTTGGTAATACATCTATATAGTGACTATACAAATATTTTCCTTTCCTACTATGTAAATGCTTGTGAATATATTTACAATTGTACAAATAAGATTGGTGATCTCCGACCACGTTCCTGATGGTTGTTTGAAGCAAGTTAGTAAGAAGTTCTCTGCTACATATAGACATGTTTTAAAGTTGGCATTCTATTATTTTTATTAAACAAACACTTAAGGTAAAGAACTGTGCATTTCTGGAAATATTCCTGGACAGAAGTATAATGAAGGTACATTTAATAAAGGGATAATAATAGCAACTAGCATTTACTGAGAACTTACTACATGCCAGGTGCTCTGCTAAAGCACATACCTGTTATATTACTTAATACTCACTAAAAGAGTAACATTAGGCACTGGATAAGTATGATTATTATATCCATTTTATAGATGGAAGAACTAAGGCACAAAGAATTTAAGTAACTCATCGGAATCACAAAGCTGGGAAGTAGTGGAGCCACTGTCAATACTTGGCATCTCAGTTTCAGACATCCTTACTAGCATCAAAGTCCTATTGGTTCCAATCTCAAACCAGTTTTGACAGAAGCAGCAACCCAGAGATATTTTAAGACCATTTTTAGACTAGAATTCCATTCATCTAGGCAAGCTTCTCTGTCAAATTTATACTGCCAAGTTTCCTTAGTCTACTCAACAAGACACTCCTAGTCTTTGCTGAACTAGGTGTGCATGAAGCTGTCAAGAGTGAGAATTAGATTTAACCAAGCCAAAAGGGTCTCTGTGGATTAGCTCCAGATCAAAATTTATGGCAATGGCAATAAGAAAAAACATATTCAGAGGAACTTGAGAAATCCTAAAGGTACCTTGTATGTGGTCTGAGCCTAAGGGTTCTGGAGAGTGGGCACTCATTTTGACAGGGCTTTGTGATATGCACTCACTTTATAATGAAATCAGTTAAATCTAGTGATGCTTCAAAAAATATACCTACAATAAAGTAATGTCTCATCCAAACACTTTAAAGTATAAGAAGAATAGTCTTAAAAGACCTAAGAATTAACAGGGAACGTTTAAGGAATCCAGAAATGACAGATAAGAAGATGGCTAGGCTGAATTTAGCCTGTTCTCTGTAGAGTAGTAATAATACTACAGCTACTGCTAAAGGAGCACATATAACAATTTCCCTCTAATTTGTACCTGCTGTAACTAGCCCACTCAGCATAGTCTGCAGCCTTTCTCATAGATGTACAGTACATGAGCAGCTGTGAAAAGGCCTCAGCAGGTCAGAATTTCAAGGAACAAGACTGAACTCAAAGTGAACAGTACTATAACAAGTATTCACTGTCATTAATACTTCTCAGAACCTTAGTTGTTCTACTGTTCTTTCTGCCTTCTTCATTTGACCCTCATCCTTACAATCTTCTAAGGATATATAGTAACTTGAGCACACTCTCCTAAATTGAAAGTCTTGAAAACAACTTTAAAACATGGCACATAATCCATCTACAGGACAGTTTTGAAATCAAGTAAATTAATGTTGCTTTTTATATATAGTCATTGTTTTTTCCCAAAATCAGTGGATCTATTGCTCTTAGTAGAAAAGCCCCTACTTCCTCTGATCTAAAAGATTTTATCAATTCAGACAGAACGTATTAATTTACTACTATATAGTAATTATTTAGAACTATGAAGCCAATTTCCATGGATTATCCACCAAAAACCAAAAAACAAGCAAATAAAACCAAAAACACACTGGAACTACATTTCTGAGACTAACAAAATCATATCAAAATCCTTTTTTATAAATACTATTATAGTTTAATATATTTAATAGACTTAAAAATAACCGTATGAAAAATTATATCCCAATTTTAAGTATCATAGACTATCATCACATTTCAATGACAGAGCCACTTCCTCTGGGCTTCACCTCCTGTCACCTCTTATAAACAAAACCCCTTTCTGGCCTCCTTAAATAGGTCTTTAACCATGGCCATTTATAAGTTAAGAAATTTTCAAAAAGCCAAACTATCACTTACAGATGTAAAGTTTGAGATCTATGGTTTTCAACTTCCTTTTATTAAAAACTCATCACCTGTTTATGTGTGAGAAAACCTTCCTATTTTGATGTTTTTTGAAATTTCAAAATAAAGTATCAGGGAGAACCAAAGCAATGGTAATATTAGCTGTTTTCCCCTAGAAACTTAAGTACTTTTCCTGGGTAGAGTTCAGACTCACAGTTTAGATTTTTTACTCACTGGATCAAGAAGTTTAATAAAAGCCTAGAGCAATGATTTCCAAACTCTTTGGACCACAGCTCACCCTTATAAATTAAGCAAAATTTACATAAGTATATAAATTTCTTATTTGTAATTTCAAGTGTTATTTATAAAACAATAATTTTTAAAGAAATAGATCAAATATAAATATTAAAATATATTTGTAAGTTTCTTAAAGATAAATCATTTAATTTTTCATAATAGTGAGTGATTTGCTGTAATATGCTTCCTCAAAAATCATTTAATATTTTATAAGTGACTAAAAAAATCCGATTCTAAGCTTGGGATTTTGAAATGTGATTTAATACCTGCTCTTGTTGAAAAAGAGAACCATGAGATGTGGATATAAAAGTAAGTGCATTTTTGGCTGGGCTTATTAAATAATCGCTTTTCATTTTCGTCTGCTGTCAGTCAGCTGTGTGCTAATAAAAGGTGTTATGCTTTCATATTTTAACAAATAAGTTCAATACGTATTGAAACTAGAAAACTTTTGAAAAATTTTAGAAAATTCTATTTCTGGGGTTTTAAAAGTATATACATTTGAGTTTTTAGATGACAAATTAAATTGTTTGCAGTTAATAAAAAAGTATGAACACATTTCCAAACTTCCATTTTCAAAATGCTCTCTCCACAGCAGAAGTTTCTTTCAAAAAGCCGTTACTCTCACTATGCTTTCCTAGAAATAGTTGAAATTTTTTTCAAAAATTTGTGGAACATTTGTCTTATGTAAAAAACAAACAAGTAACTCATCCTTATGTTAGATAACTCTTAAATACTCTGTGCTCCATGATAACCCTTTAATCTTTACGTTGCACAAGAGATTTTTACTGTGGATATCACCACATTACAAAGTATTGTAAAGATTCTATCAACAATTTCATCTCTAACCACTGTCTCCCTTACTTATTCTATTTGAGCTACATCTCCTTGCTATTCCTTGATATGTAAAGCATACTCTTATTTCTGAGGCTTTAGACTTGCCTTTTTATTATTTGTATGGGTTAGCCTCCTTCACTGCCCTGTGCTCACCATGCTTCTCTGACCACCCGACATAAAATAGAACATCCTTCTCTGGGAATCATTCTCCATCTCTTTCCCCTGCTTTAATCATCTTTCCAGCTCTTATCTTCACCTGACATATTTTATTTTTTCATGGTCTCTCTTTGCTCAAATGTGATCTTCATGAGAATAGAGAAGTATTATTTGTTCACTGTTGTCTTTCAAAGAACCTAGAATAGTGACTGGCACATAGCATGTGATAAATAAAAATTTGTTGACGGAATGAATGTAATCATTTAAGGTAACATAACTCATAAATCCCCTGACATGTTTAACCTGCATTATATTAAAAATGTATCCAAAAACAACAAATGACAGGTAAGGATGCCACTGTTAATGTCCCATTATTTTGGAGGATTCTCACATAATCTGTGAGATCTGGCTCATACATACACTTCAATAAAGTTAGGGCACCAACGTCAAGCCATATATCATATTAATATAGCTTAATTTCTAATATTCTTAGATTAAAAAATATAAACAGAAGTCTTAATATATTATTTTCACACCTGAGAATTGTACCTTGTATATTTTGGTAGTGTTATTCTAGAATACTAATATTCTTCCATCTAGAAGTGTGAGGGGCCATTTTTCTCCTTGTTTGACTACCTATTCCGATATAAACTATCTAGTTATTAATACTAATCACTGTTAATCTGCTGAAGTGACCATTAAAGCTCTGTAATAGATTCTCCATGGTTTAGGTCCTTTAAAGAAAAAAAATACTACATTTGTGTCTCCACTTGTAGAATTTATGCTTTCAATTATAAGCATAGCTCCCATTAATGGAAAAATGTGTTCTTAAAACAGTAAACACATGTCTATAGTTAACTGCCATATAACCCCCTAGGTCTTTATTATTATTATCATTGCCACAAAGTAAAGGTTAAAATGAAGAATATAATAAATGAATATTATATATTATATCCAAAAATTATAACCTTTAATTTTGTGGCTATAATTTTGGTAATTATAAGTGAAAAAGAAAAAGATTAATGTGAGATTTGGAATCTAGTTTCTACTATTATCAAGAGGAAGATACAAGTAGTGAATTAGTAATGACATAGTGTGGAAAACAGTAAAGTAGCATTCAACGAAATAAAAACTGAGGCAAAGAATAGGAGACTATAACTGAGTTAGTGTGATTCCACAGAAATCAAATTCTTTGGTCTTTACCTGGACAACGATGTCTCCTATTTGGTTAACAAATTTTATTCCCAGTATCCTTCAGTATGGAAATTCATACAATTTAATGATTTCACATGAAAACATTCTTTTTTTTTCCCATTAAGAGTTCAAGCAAACCAAAAGCACAAGGACAGAATGAAGAAGAGATGGGTTAATAGAATCTCAATACCCAGTAGTATGATGTGGCTGACAAAATCAAGTATGTCCTTTCAACGTTAACAGAGTACTTCTAGAACAAAGGAGGCACTTTTCCTTCTACAAATATCAGTCTTGCTACCATACTCAAGAAAAATACAACAGCTTACCCACAAGAAGACAAGATGGTGATGTGAAATCAAAGCTACACCATATAATAAATGGCTGAAGACAAATAGGCAACTGTTTAGTCTGGATTTTTTTTTTTTTTTTAATGGGAAGGGGGCAGGAAGTGGAGAATAGGAAGCAGTCCAACAGAAAAGAAGTTAAACTTGCTCAACTAGTACTTGAGGATAGAAATGGGTCCACCAGGTAAAATTCTGGTTCAGTGCAAGGAAAAGTCTTTTAGCAATTACCCCTAATCATAAATCGGTTACCTCAGGAGATAAGAGTTTCTTTTCCCTGAAAGAGTTTGAGTAATACTCGACTACCATTTGGAAGAGGGGAGAAAAGATATATAGAAAAATTAAGCAATAGACTAATGGCTGGGTAAGAAGTTTGGCTTAGACCTAGAAGATCTCTAGGATTTTTACTCAAGCCTGAATTTCATGTTTACAGAGAAGGGAAGGACAAAGACAAAGAATAATTTCTCATCTTCCTTTCTAAAAATAGTTCTCCATAAATCTAAGACCTAGGACTCACCTGAGTTCCGGAGAAAAGTCTTTTTAAGTCCTTACAGGAAGACTGTGAAGCAAAAAATAGGAAATGGGAGGCTTGGGGTTATGGCCTACTTGAATGAACATTCAAGTCTTTTTTTCTTTTTCTTCAATAAGCTCACTGCAAAATGTAGTGAGCTCTAGGTTTTACCTACAATTAATTAGTCACCTTCAGAAGTCTATGTGTCTTTAATTCCTTTGGATCCATCCTAAAGAGCAATCTCTCCAAAGACTAAGATAACATGCGTAGTATAATCCCCAACTCTTAAGGTAGGTATATTTTCTGAATACATCATTATTTCAAAGTTATATACCCTAACTTAGAACCTTAAATGCAGCTGGTTTTACAAATGCTTTATGTGATCTCTAAATTCAAATAATAGCTTAGGTAAGGTTATCAATCAATTTTTGACAAGAGTTTCCCCACCCCAGTTTCATGTTTAGAAAATTACAGTCATTATTTTTATGCCTCAATTTTCCTTAACTGAGGTACATCTGTCTTACAGTTTCTCCCAAACATTTCCACTTTATCCCATGTACTTAATGATTTCCCCTGATCCATTATTTTTTTTCTGTAGCTTAAGTATTTTTTGTATAAGTCTGTTCTTATGTATGTGTTCCTATAAGGTCTATATAGATGCAGCATATTCTTTTACTGTAAAGTAAAATAAAACTCTGAACTAGATATGTTCCTATTTTCATAACTAATAAAAGGAGAAAGATACGGCTATAAACAACAGTTATAAAAGTAGATGCAGAACTTTTTATACACATACCTGAACTGTCTGGACTTGTGGAGACTGAATAACTGATGGCTGGGCCGCCTGAATAACTCCATGGACTTGAACTGTCTGCCCATTGGGCAGCTGTACTAAAGTTACGGTGGGAGCAGATGATGTTGCATGAGCTGCTGGCATAGATACCTGTGGTGTTGAACATGGGAAAAAATTACCATCACAGATACCTTTTTGAGAGTACTCATGTTCAATTTAAAGCAACTTTTTAGCAGCAAAAAGATGTCCTTTCTGCTAGATAAGTACTTCGTTACTGTGAAAGAAACTAATGATTAAATCGAACCGTCTTAAAAAAAAAAACAACTACAAATGCCTCCCCCCACCCTCATTTTTCAACTCCTCCCAATTGACAAAAACCAAAATATTTTTTAATGTAGTATCAAAATATGTAACACAGACTTCCTCTGAACACTAAATACCACTTTATTTGTATGGTGCTTTACGTTTTCACATCTGCTTTCATATCCAATTTCTCATTTTGCTCTTCAAAGAACTCAAGACTAAGTAATAAGGATTATCTCCATTTTAGAGACAAATATCAAGTGCTCAAAGAGATTAAGTAATTTACTGAAAGTCAAGAGATATGTTAGACTTGAAGAAACACAAGAGTCTTCATAATATCATGTGTCAACTAAGCCATGTTCTAAAATATAATTGCTCTCAAACTTGGACAAAACTTAGCTACTACGTCTAGAACAAATATACATTTTATAATATACAGCACAGTTTCTATTTTAAACTAATTACAAGTATGCCTTTCTTTAATGAGAAAGTATTAATAGGTATTATAATCTGAAATCTGCTATTCCTGCCCCCCAAATAAATCACTACACTGGTAACAGTTGATATTTTAAGAATTTATTTTCCTTTTGAAGGCATAAAGCAGAGTTGAGAAAATATAAGAGAAACAAATTTTTTTCCTGAAGCACAAAGGCGGCTATTTTAATGAGTCAATATCTAGGTACAAAGGGCTCTTATGTCATTCATATCTATCAGATGGTCTGTATTTTTCCTCTGTTGTACACATTCAGGGTAGGGATTTTATTTGCTCTTTTAGTAAACAGTTACTAACTAGGTACCTATGTGCTGAGAACAATGTTAGAACTGAAACTACAGAAATGAGAAAGACATCTTTGCCTTTAAGAAAATTATTGGGGTGTACGTGTGAAGAAATGGGGGAAAAGAACACAAATGAATATAATTCAGTGAAGTAATAAGGTTTGTGAAGAAAAAATGAACACACTAAGGGGAGCTACCCCAACCCACCTGAGAGGAGGCGAGGCTACCAGGGAAGAAAGTGAATCTGAAATAAAGAATACAAGTTAGGCACGTTATTATGACTTGCGAGGGAGAGGCACAGAATTCTGGGCAGAGAATAGCACTGGAAAAAACAAAGAGAAACAGTGTGGTCTGTACACGGCAGAGAGGGAAGACCAGCAGTCAATACTACTGGATCACCTAAGTGTGTTACTATATGATGTAGGAAGTAGGGGGAGACGAAATAACAGAGGTAGGCAGGGGCTACATAGGCTAGTCATGAAAAACCATACATATGTTAAAGAATTTGCATTTTACCCTGAGAAGATTGGGAAAGGCACCGAAGGGCTTTGAACTCCTGAATATCATAATGAGGTTTGCATTTTAGATAGATCTTTTTAGTGGTAGTGTGAAAGATATTTATTTCAGAGGAAGAAAAAAGTAGAGGTGAGGAGACTGACTGAGAAAGCCTATATATTAGTAAAGGTAAGAGGATAATGGCCAGAAATAAAGCACTAATTGTGGGGATGAGAGATGTGATTTAATGAGAATTGTGGGGATAAGAGACGTGATTTAATGAGAATTCAGGAGGCATGCCAGAAAGGGCTTTATTAGTGACTGGTTGAAGGAGGTAAGAGAGGAATCAAAGATATCCCATGTATTTCATATTTGGACGAGAATTAGGAGATTATGTTATCAATTGAAACAGAGAACATAGAAGGAGAAACTTTTCATGGTTGTGGTGGTGGTGGCAGATGATAGAACTAACTGATCTGACATTTGAATTTGCAGAGATATTTAGCAGGCAGGCAAATATCTGACTGAAGCTTGGGGGGAAGATACCTAATGAAGGTAAAGTTTAAAACCATGAGCTTCCACCTTTGAACAGTTAGGAAGTCCTTCCCTATTAATCATTTTCCCTCTGACCAATATAAATCTTGCTTAGTTTTACCTGGTTCTCAAAATGTGGTCTATGGACTACATCCATCAGTGTTACATAGGGTGCCTGTTTATAAATTCAGCCTAGACTATCTGACGAACCCATGGATACTTTCTCCTACACTGAATCACAACCTTAAGTTATTCAGAGTATCTCATCTCAGTTCCATATAAAAGCTCTTCTCATATTTGAAGCAATTATTATGTCCTCTTCTGAGACTCTTCCAGGGTAAATATAACAAGCTAACTCAATGAATGATCCCTTTTCTCCCCTGATCATTCTAAGTTTATATGTCTCCTTTCATCATAATTTATAAAATGCAGATACACAAAAATAAGATAAAAAATCACTTATATTCTTACCACTCAGAGCTAATTACTTAATATTTTTGCTGTAGATCTAGGTATTTTTTTAAAGGTACATATATACACTAAATTTTGATAACACTATCATGTAATCTATTTTATCTTTTGAATCCATTATAAATATCTTTGCATTCCATTAAATCTTCGTTAATGGTTTTAATGGCTGCATAATCGTAAAAATTATACAGTTTATTTAATCAATTCCTTATTATTGTATATTTAGGTTTTTAACTTTGCCTACTGCAAGAAGCTACGACTACCATCCTTTTAATCAACTCTTCAGTTAAATTCATAAAAATTCACTCTTGGGAGAGTTTGAAATCTTGCTCCCTGGCATATGTCATCAGTTTAGCTCAAATAAACTCTTATGAAAATTAAAAGAAAAAAATTCTCATAGTCAAAACTAATATTTTTTTTCCACTTCAAAAAAAATCTGTATATTCCAACAGTAAAATAAGACACCTCATTAAGATTGTCCTCCCCTTCACTAGTTAGCCTTTTTTTTCTTGTTCATTGATCACATCACAATAATCTTGGATTTTACGATTTTATTATATTTTTCTAGTATTAAAAACTAATGAAAAATTAACAAGTATCAGAATTATAAGAGAAAATTATGTCAAAAATGTATGATGTATGTGTTAAGGACTTGGAGAGCCAGTATAAATGGACTCTGTAGTTGGGAATAAAAAGAACAAAAAAATATACAAATGGAAATCAACTTTTTTTCCTAACTGTCCAAACTCAGATATCATGTAACCCCATTTTTAAAAGTTGTTAAGTGCTAGAGGACTGCTTGATAATAACGACACACTGAACATGTGCATATAGTTTTGCTCCTTACTGAAACTCCAACTAAACTTCATGAAATCGATTTTATTTTTACAGGCATAATCACACTGCATAGGAAACTGGGAAAGAATAAGAATTTTGGAGGCTGGGAAGCAGATGGATGAATGGTATTGAACTCAGAAGACCTCAAAAAGCCAACTTGTGAAGCGGAGGCAGGGAAAGCCTGATTTGCACCACAAAAATCCTTACTGAGGCTCAGGATCTAAGACACTCTGGAAGGTGGAGTGAAAGAAGATGCTGAAAATAAGAAAGGCTGGTTAAGAAGCAATTAGATCTCCTCCTCAACTCCCTGTGGGTGAACAACTAATGTATCCCATGCTGACAGAGAAATGGAGATTTATTTTCTGGACAGAAGGTCCCTTAACTTTGATTGCCTAACACCGGGCACTGCAAGGGTGGAATACTAAATCTCAGTCGTCTTTTCCCATTTGGCTCCTAGGCCTTTACCATATAAGCAGGGTATTCCCAAAGCTTGCTTTGGGGAATCTGACCAACACCAAGGGGCAGAAGACAGACTTAAAAGATATTGACATTGGGAATGCCACAGTCACCATAAGTGAAGCTCACAATTCATAGATATTAGGCCCCAAACATGTCCACAGAGCTTCCAATACAGCTTTTAAACCTGAGCAGACAACCACAAATTAATAAACATTTGAGGAAAGCTTTGGATAGGAAAGATGGAGACCAGAACAAACAGAAGGAGAAAAAAAGCTATACAAAGGAAAATCTATGTGAGGAGAAGAAAACTTGAAATGAAACGAAATCTAATTAATACTCTCGGAGATAAGAGAAAAATATTGCCTTTGTAAAACCTAAACAAGATGCTATTAAAACACAAAAGGACTATTCAGAGAACAAAAGGTACTCTTAGAAACACTATAGCAGAAATAAAAATCTCAACAAATGGGTTGGAATGTGAAGTTGAAGAAATCTCCCAGAAAGCAGAACAAAAAGACATAAAAAACAAGAAAAGATGAGAAAATTAGAGAAATAGTCTTTAAGTATAACATCTGGATCACAATGATCCTAGAAAAGAGAGAAATGAGAAAAAAATATCAACCAAATAATTTAAAGAAATTTCCCAGAATCGAAAACATGAGTTTCCATTATACAAGGGCCCACCAAGTACACTTCAGTGGATGAAAAATGATCCAAACCATGGCCCTAATAACCCGATAATAAAATAATGAAGCACTGTGAACAGAGACAAGATTTTTATAAGATATCAGACATACAAACTAAAACAGATTTAGCCTCTTCAAACAGCAATACTAGAAGCTGACTATTTAGATCAATGCCTTCAAAATTTTAAAGAAAAATGCTTTATCAAAAATTCTTTACCCACACTTGTTCAAGAAATCACGAAAACATGCTTTACTATATCAAGAACACAAACTCCACAAGAGAAGGACAGTAAGGGGAAAGGAATTTCTAGAATGACATTATATAGCAGGCTTAGAGGACAACCAGACCAGACAGAATAGTATGGCCCAAGAAAAAGATATGTTGAGGGTCATCACCATGAAGGTACCTGTTGACTGAATGCTTGGGGCAGCTCAGATTCTTACCTGTGCATGCTTTCTTTGATCACATACTGATGAAGTCCTGGCTCTCTCCCCTGTGTTTCTGTACCTGCCTCTCTCCCGTGTTTCTGCACCTGCCTCTTCTGAGTACACTGACTTCATCTCCAAGTGTCTTCTACTCCTGTGGGCTGGAGATCGGCCCAGACACAGAACAGCACACTCCTTCTGACTATATTCCTGCTAGAGGCCCAATTTTTGGCCCATACTTAAGCTCATTGTTGTTTGCCTTCTATTTTCCAAGACCCCACTCTTGCTCAGTGACTCCCCTGGAGGAGCTTTTAAACTCTTTGTGAAGCTGAAGCTCAACATCCCACAGCCTCTGCTAGCATTATTTTCTCCTGGGAGCCTTTATCTGAAAATAGCATAGTCTCTTACCCTACCAGGTTTATGTTTGTTTTTATATTAATCACCTTTCTCACTCATACATATGCAAACAGTTGTTAATAAAATATTTAGGGAAAAATATATAAGAACAAAAATAAGGATGAGAGAATGAAACCTTAGAGATAGAATGTTTCAGACAAAAATAAACGAATTATGAATTATATTTAAAATATACAGTAAACAAACTACTATCACCCTTGAAATTTACTTGTGTCAGTTTATTTGCTTATCCTATCTTTTTAGTTTAAGTGCATGTAAATTTAGCCTTTCAGATTACCTGCATTCCCATGCCCCCAAATAAATCTGTATATGAAAAAAAGCAGTTATATTAGGTTTTCTTCCCTTGTTTAAGAGACAATTAATCTACCCATCAGTTAAACTATAATTACTTCTGAATCATGTTGCTACAAATAGCATATTAGTGTTTGACAATACATCTTTGTTATTACTGAATAAATACTATCATTTCTAAAATTAGGCTAAGTAAATAGGAATTTTGATATTCTAAGAATGTCTCTGCTTGTTCTATGTAGTAAAAACTAAATTCTCTTGTCTGAAACATATTCCTCTCGGAAGAGACACAACTTGGAATCTCTCCATGTATTTTATACCTGGGCTAATGTGGCAATCTGTGGCTGGGCTTGAACTGTCATTTGCTGGTTTTCAGGTTCTGTTACAGCTGCATCTCCACTCTGCTGGTTCTCTGCTCCAGATTCCATGGTCATTTAGTCACCTACAATAATATGGAAGAGTGTTACAAGCACTACAGTGCTTTGTGATTTTGTGACTTTAAAGGCAAATTTCAAGTTCTGAATAGGTATATGTGACGGTTAGGTTAGCAAACGCACTCAGAAATCTAGTTAAAATATAATGTAAACTGAATTATAAGACTTGTCCAAATTTGCTGAGCTGTAGTTTTCATTCCTTCAAAACGAAAACAAAAAAACCAACAAAACAAAAACAAAAACAAAAAAACACACCAAAAAACCTTTTTTCCCCATGCTATTTCTTCCCAATGAGACAGCACTCCATCTAGATGTTAAGTAGATATAAAAAGGGATTCCTCTCTTCCATGAATTAACAAGGAGAGGAGGGGTGACAGCATAGTTATAATTTTTCAAACTGTACCAATCAGGTATGGAGAAAGGGTACAGAGTAGAAGTGAGCTGATGACAGGGTCTACAAGATATTTTCATGGTACCTCCTAAAGGGTGTTATTCCTTTCTCTTACAAGAAAGAGAAATTATAAGCTACTTCCATAGGAAATTACTGGAAGTAGGACAAAATCAGCCCAAGTTTCAAGGGCTCAAATTGTGTGTGTCAAGATCGAAAGGTGGGATAAATAGCCACAGGGCCAAATTACAAGGCCCCAAACACCGAAAATATTAGTGTTCTGATTCTGCAACACTGCACACACACACGAAACAACTTTAAAAAATGTTAACTGCAAAATTCTGAATAATAAAGGCTGATATATTTTTTACTTTGGGGGTCTGCTTTGCTAGGTAAGGGCTTAGTATTTGTTGGGTAATCTGGCACTAGATGGCAGAAAAAGTTAAGTGGAGGGCAGGTCCTAGCGGCAGCAGTTAAGTGGAGGTTAGAGAAATTTCTGATCATGTGTCAAGTATTCATGATGAAAAAGATTACTTCTTACTGTGCTACTACTGTTATCTTTCAGTGCTTAGCATATTACCAAAATGAATTTATTAATAGTTAAGACTACCTATAGTGATTCCATAAATAACACAAAATCCCAATACTCTTCCAGAATTTATTACATTTATTTTATAATTCTGAAATTCATATCAAAATTGTCACTGATCCTTATGTGATTACTACAAACCATCAGAATGTATCATATACTAATTGGTCATTTACAGAGTTCTATAAAAAAAAGTGTTTTACAAGTGACAGTTAAAAATGAAAATAAAAATATCTCTGGAATATAAATAATTTAGAAATACAGAATCCATGACACAGATGACAAAGAAAAAGGTCAAAAGACCTGACAACACAATTACTTAAAACATTCATTTGGCAAAAGCCACCAAGACAAGTGCATAGGGAGAAAATATCTGCCATACAATTAACACAATAACATCTAGAATATGGAGAAAGTACTAGTCAATAAGATAGGGTCAAGGATAGTCACTGCAGAATTTTTTAACAGAAAAAAGTGGAAACAAGTATTCATCATTAGGAGGACCATTAAAGAGATCAAAGCAATAAAAAAATAATTAAGTGTGTCTATTATGTAATGACACATAAAGCTTTTCAAGACTGAGTGAAATGGCAAGTCATGGAACACACTGCAAAACAGACTCCCATTTATGTTAAAAACAAGTAGAACAAATTGTTGTAAAGGTGTATGCATGGAAAAAGATGTGGGAAGTTTTACACTAAACTTCCCACAAAGTGATAGCTCTGAATAGAGGAAACTTGGGTAGAAGAAGGAAGGATGACTTTCACCTTACTTTTTACATATTTTTTGTATTAATCTTTTCTTCCTGTGAGCGAAGATTCGGTATTACTTGTATGATGTAAGAAAAAATTAATATCAGAAGTCATGGATAAGATTTTGAAACTATGAATCAAAATCGATATTTCAACTATGACTGAGATACTGACAAAAATTTTTTTAATCCTATTTTAATATTACTATTTTTGTTTAAATTTTCCCTAAATTGTTTACATTTCCAAAGAGTAAAAATAACCAATTAAAAAAAAATTATCAAATAGCTTCATTATCATTTGTGATAATTCGCTGAGCTGTGTACTTAATAGTCTGTGTTCTTTTAAACTAAAAAAATTAAGAAAGACATCAAAAGTCACAGAAAGCAACATCAAGAGCAAAAGTTTATATATCCTAAATGTTGTGCATACTTGTTGTCTGGAAGAAAATGGCACATGAAAGCAAAAAATAACCCCTGATCTTTACAATAAATAAATGAATCCATTTGAGGACAGTACTGAGTCAAGTCAAATAAAAATGGAAACCTATACTTTTCTCCATCTCCTCCCCTAAGCCATTTTTAATAAAGATAAATACAAATTTATCATCACAATACCTCCTTTGTAGACAGAATACATGCAACCATTTTAAAAACTTCATTGCAAGCAACATTTTTTTAACCTATACTGTCATCCATACAGTTTCACTCCACCATTTGATTAACAGTAATCTAAGGCATGTTGCTTTTGTGTTTATTCTAACACATCTGGAATTTTTAATTTTTTTGAAATTTAAGGTATAGGGCATCATTATAACTTTTTGTTTTAGAAAATATTAATGACTATAATAAAGGAACAAAACCATTAGCTAACATAAGCAATTTATAGCTACAAGACACGTTCAAAACAGAAATGTGATTTGCATCCTTCTTCCTTCCCCAACTAGATAATATTCTTTCTAAACTGAGAGCATTTCACTATTATTTCATTCATTCATACTACTAATATTTTTTCAGAGGAGGGGGCAGCCTTCTTAATTTTTGTAACTCTTAGCTTTAGATATCAATCATTGGAGCAACAAATGTTGTCTTTCATCAGAAAATTCAGGCCTTTCTCAAAGTGGAGCTGAGAATTATTCAAGGAAGAACAATCTGTATCAGATGACAAACTCACTGACTCAACTGTAACAGACACTATCCTTCGGTTTTCACCTGGAAGGTACTGAAATAGCAGTCATCCAACTAGACTAAACTAGCATTTGATGTGGGTGTCTTAATTCTGGATTTTGAAAACTTGGTTCTTTTTGTTTGTATCTTCAGGTGGGAAGAGATGTTATGGTATCATATGTACAATCTTTATTTTTTTTAAATAGAAGCTTTGTTTTTTATTTATTATTTTTATGGTGACATTGGTTAATGAAATCCAGTAAGTTTCAGCTGTAAATCTTTATTTTTCTACAACAGAAAAATAACCCAGCAGCAGTCTAGCCAGCAGTACAGTATGCAAAGGATCAATTAACAAAAACAAGACATGGGTTTCCAAAGTTGTTTGAAGAAAGGAAATTCCTAATTCATTACACAAATCAATGCTTTTTAGGACTGCAAAACAAAAAACATTGAATACTACTACAAAGAAACAGTTCATGTACATATGAACTGAGAGAGAATGTTCTATAAATATTGAGCCTGAAACATTAGAAACAGAATGAATCTCGGAAATCACTGAAAATCTAATATGAGCTTGACAGTTTTGTGATTCTTGTTCCTCCAATAATTCTGAATTTTAAACTTTGGGATATTTAAAATTTGGGGAATTTTATGATTTATCCCTAAATATTAACATAATCCTTTAGAAATTATGAATTTATAACAAATTACAAAATAGTGTCATGTGTAAAACAAACAAAAAATTTTAAACCAATTCAGAAAGATACATACCATTTTGCTATAATGGTCTTTAGAGTTTTACTTCTTAATATGAAAAATAAAAAGCAAAGTGATTCTGTAGTATTATTCACCCAATCTTGAGAGAATCAATGCTGCTCTAAGTAGCTGGGAAAACCTAACACTTGGTGGAAAGCTGGATCTGTCACCAAGTGGTTGCTGGACCAATCAAACTTTTTGTGTTTCAATTTCCTCATCTGTAAAAACAAGGGAGATGGATTAAAAGATCTCTTTCTATTTTAAATGCTCTGCTCCTAGGAACTGACACCACAAGATGTACATACACACAATTATGAAGGCCACTTAATAAAACAGTATATATAATAAAAGAAATTTCTGTTACTATATAGTAATGTATATAATAAAAGGAGACAGTTTAATTAATAATAGGTCATCTAGCCTTTTGAACATGAGCAAATACCGAAATATTACCACTTATTTATATAACATCTTGATAATGCAACATTTGAGATAATTAGCAATACTTTTTAAAAATGCTACTAGACTATTATTCAATAAAGATTCTCTCACATGGTGAACAGTGTCTCCTTTACTCATTATATTGCTCTAGTCATAACTGTTGTTATAGTTTTATAACAACATAGTATTAAAGTTTAACAGTCTCTTAAGTTTCAAAGAGGATAAAGCAGCTCTCCTTTCATCTTAGAACTTTAAGGAATCTATCTGACTAGGGCTGTATCGCTTTTGTGTCCTTTACACAGTAAAGATATAGATATTTAACAGCTTAAAATGTAGTTTAGATAAACATCTCAACAAAGTGTCAAATGAACGTTTCCATGACATTTAAGAGAAGAGAATATGTTCTGCAATAATCAAGACTGATGGAGTCCCAAAGAGTACTGAAGATGAATATAGTATTGATAACTGTGGGGAAAATAACTCTTCTGATAAGAAAAAGAGTAGGAGAAAAGGCTTAAATTATGGTAGACTTTTAGAGAAATGATTGAGTCTATGGCTGGTGTCAGATTTTGACAGAAGCAAAGAGAAAAATAATAATACAGAATGGTTACTTCAGAGCAATCAACAACTAGGGTAAAATGAGAATATGAGAATGACGTCTCTTTAAAGTAAGTTATCAGGTTTTTATATGACAATGGATTTTACTTCTACTCTATATAGCAATATAACCTGAGGGAATTCGCTAGTGAATAATTCCCTTTTCTAAAACCAACAATATTTTCAATTTGAACAGTTTATATACATTGTATTTGTATTACAGTATCACATCTGAGCACTTATATGTCATGCACTATTCAAGTTACTGGGGATAAAGAAATAAAAGTTTAAAAAAATTTTCCTTTGTAAATTTATATGAAGGGGCAGGTAAGAGAAGGTGAACAAGTAAATGTATAACAAATCAGATGGTGAGGAGTGTGTGAAAATAAAACTGAGAAGAATGTTGGAAGGATTTTCAGTATTATAAAAGCTGACCAGTGCAACCTTCATGGATTTAAAGTAGTATTTAAATCTGCCTACTTAGCACCTATAGAGAACTATACACCAAGTCAGGGACAATTTTTTGGTAGCACTATTTCCATATCTATCCTTACCTACTGAGTTAACTAAAAGCTCATCAAACAAGAAAGCAAGCCCAAATCAGTCTGCTAACGATCATTAAGCAAAAGTAAAGAATGCTGCAGATCTTCACCTTGTTCTTTTTCCTAAAATATTTTGACCTTTAAGAAGTGCCCTAGTCCTTACAATTCTAAACATTCTAGTTCAAGTTTATGAAAAATAAACCCATCTCCCCCACAACGTAGTCTACTTTTTAATCACTTAAATTTATGGCCAATTTAATCCAGATAAGGAGACTAAGTATTCAGATATGAACTGTGAATTTTGACTCTGTAGAACAATGAATGCATTCATGACAGAACATATGAACACGTGATTTTTTAAAATGACATTAATTATAAATAAGAAAAAAAACCATCCCCTCCACCCTACACCAAATAGATTCCTCCTGAACTCATTTAACAATCCAAAAGTCCAGGGATTTAAGAAAATTATATAAGCAGAAGTCTTAAGCCCATAGCATAACCATTGCAAAAGGCACATTGGAGCACACGATTTTAAAACTAAATGACTATTCTGTCATACTCAAATGTATTACCAAAAATATTTTGTAAAAGTATACCTAGAAACATCTATGAGCAATACATAATACTTTCTACATAATTATTTGGTTAACTGTTATTTAGTTTTTAAGATATTATAACTGTTTGAAAGCCTTGTTAACACATTTTTAACACCTTCGACGTGTCTTGATTAATTTTCTGAAGTGTTATGCAAAATGTTCAGGTGCTACACAACAGACTTT